TWAAAAAAAAAAATGGTGGAGTTGACAATTAGGCCCCTGCAGATCTGAGCTGGCTTCTGAACTCGTGTCCACTTGGGCAACAGGGACTGCTTGGTGGCAGTGTTCACTTTGGTAGGGATGAAGAAGAGGTATATTTCTAATGAGATCGTCACAGTTCACATCTGCTAGGTCTACCCAAGTCCCCACCAGCACATGGGCCTGTTTAACTCTAAACTGATTTAAATGAACTAAAAATTAAAAGACAGGACTTCAGGACATTGGGCACTTTCAAGGGCTTAATAGCCATGGTGGCTAGCGGCATCTGGATTGGAGCACGCAGATCAGAAACATTTCATCATCTTAGAACATTCTAACGGACAGCGCCGGTGTAGGAGATTCCCGTCTGCCTTAGTGTTACAATTCACTGAGATGAGGAGAAGGGGGCTAACAAGATGGGCAGCTTCGGTTCCTTCTGAACTAGGCACTCCTCGGGACTCCTTTCTGCCCACCACGCTGTCAAAGAAAACGCTATGTTTCCCTTTTTCTAAATAGGAAAACTGTGGCCCGAGGAGCTAAGTAATTTGCCAAAGTTCCTCAGCTGGCCACAGGCCCCACTGCATGGCACAGTGGCAACTGGGCAGGGACAACGGAGCATTTGCACTCTCCAGATGGGGAGACAGAGGGTCCGAGAAGTCACATGATTTGGGGTAGGCTTCCCCTGTCTGCAGCGGTTTGCAAGACCTCTCCCCAGGGCTTCCTGAAGCTGGTCCAGGGCTCCTGTCTGGGAAGTGGCACATCAGTGAGGGAAATGAACAGGTCTAATTTGCTAGTTGACAGCATTTCCCTAGTTGGAGATAAGGGTCCATCTGAGTCTGTGCTATCAGTGATGAATACATTACAGCACTGCAGTTTCTCCTGGAGGTCTCCGGCCCATTCCATGGTCTAGAACTGCTTACCCGGTTGTACCCACTGGCCCATCCCCAAACTCAGTCTTGCCTGATCTCATGGCCAACACTGCTCAGTGATTTTTTTTTAATGTACTTTTTATGGGAAGGCTGTCCTGGAGAGGAGTCTGGTGTGTATAGGCTCCCTGTGATCTGAAATTCCCTTTCCCTGTGTCCTGTGAACCACAAGAAGCAGCAGGCTGAGGAGTCCGGCACAGGAACATATTTTGAGAGAGAGAGAGAGAGAGAGAGAGAGAGAGAGAGAGAGAGAGCCCACATTCACAGTGGATTGTTATAGCCGTTCTATTTTATTGGTTCTTGTTGTTAATCTCTTAAGTGCCTGCTTTACAAATTAAACTTCATCCTAGTACCTG